CAGGCCTGGAAAGTCCACCCCTCTTGCATACCAGCATTCTGTCTGTGGCAGACCATGGGCCACCTGTACATGAAATAGAAAGGCTACTGGATCTGTAAACTCTGAGCTCAGCTAGGTAAATACTTACATAAAGGCTAGGCAATAGCAGTTGCGGAGTTAAAGGAGATCATCTGCTATTTTAGTTCCCAGAATGGGACATAATGCAATTATGCATGAAGTAAGTCTTGCCAGCAATTTGTCCCTGGTTTCAATGGCTTAATTAACTGAACTGGAATACCTTGGCTTGCTAAAGGGCATTTTGCAAGAACTTCTCAAATGTAAAATAGAGACTGTGTGAAGAACTGCACAATCTAGACACTGCTAGCCCCTTACAACTTGTGCAGATGATGAGTTCTTCACTTGATGACTGGACAAGGCTGTGGTGCTCTTTGTCATTCAGAAGAGCCATTGAACCATGGAGTTTAGAATTGTATCACATATCCTTGGTTTGGCTTACCAAAATCTTTCATTTTAAAACTAAAAATAATTTACAAATAGAGCATAAACTTGGCAGAGGTTCTTTTCATGACACTTTCCCCTTCTTTTAACATACTAATAAATCAGACTAACAAATAAGCTTTTTCTGAAAAGGCTTTTTATTAATTGCCATACTGTATAATGAATTGAACCTTTCCATAGGCTTAAAATACTAATTAACAAAACAATATGTAGGTATTGTTTTTTTAAATTAATACTTGACTTGAGTGAGAGGAAGTTTGTCAATTTTTTGGGGATATGAAGAGGAGTCTGAGTCACTCCTGATAGCTCTGAAGCTTGGTCCAGCAGTCAAGGCAATGGCAGAACTCCCTGATGTCAGTAAGGACAGGATTTGATTCTGTGCCTTTTCAGGAGCTGATGATTCAGTTGTGTTCTGGGAGGACCTTCGCACAGAAATCACTGGTACTTTCTGAGCTTTTTTGAGCCTTCTAACTGCTGTGCTGTATTTGTGGCATTCAGAGTTGATAAACTGCTATTCTTTTTTCATGCCTTAATAATACAATAGACCCCATAGCTGGGCTCTGTATGTATTTGGTAATTAACATAGATGACATTTCAATGTTACTGAAAATAAGCTCAGGATTATTGCATGAAATGTAAAAATTTGCATTGAATGATGGGGATATGAGACATGAGGCAGTGATTGCTACTGTCTCCTTGCTTGCTAAGTATCTTCTGTAAGCAACAATAAAATTCTTTAAATATTTTGCATATTATTTATCACATGTAATGTGTTCAAGGAGAGGACTTAAAACTCTCAGTGTTGCCATCAGTGTAAGCCTAGATCTATTGGGTTTTTTTCCATTTCTTGTTAGAATTGTTTGTCATAATGGAAGAATGTTGTCCTCTTTCTAGCTCATTATATATTTTGTGTATCTGTTTTGTGCAATTAATACTTAACAGTAATGATGTAGTTAATTTGTTGAAGGATGTCATTGCAAGAAAGTTATAGCATGGAGCTTAGGAGCACAATCAGATGTTATTTATACTCCCTTTATACCTTAGTGTTATGCTTCATTTGAAGAAAGAAATAAATAATTTGTCTTTTGTTCAAAACCAGATCTTACCTACCACATGCTTTTCTATTATGTTCATCGTCATAGTCCAGCACGGGGGCATTAACTCGGGTTGATGACTGATCTTCCCATGCTGAAGTTGCTGTTTATCTAATATCTGTAGTATCTTTCACATAGCTATTAAAGGTACAAACTGTGAGAATGTGGGTGGTACACACAAGGCCCCATTTTTGGCTACAGCTGCCAGCTGTGAAATGCTCAGCTGCAGTGACTGCTCTGTAGATGGCTTCCTCGCCCTGCTTCCCATTGGGATGCGAAATGGGAAAGATTGAGTGTCACCCAGTGGGGGTGGGGAGGGAGATGGTGCAGTGGGACAACCAGAGTTATGTAAGTGTAGGACCAGGCAGCTGTGCTCTTCCAGCCTGCCTTCCTTGCACTGCAGGAAACAGAATCAGCCTCTGTGGTATCCCTGGAGAGTCATGTATTCCCTCAATGGGACAGCAGAAGGTTGGTTTTGAGCACAACATGGGCTTTGTCTAAGTGTGTATAAAGTGGCATAACTTGCAAAAAGCTTGTTAATTCAGCAGTTGACAAAACGACACAAAACATGGCAAAAGGGGAATCCTTATTTTAGTGTGACTTCAATTACAAATGTTAAGGAAGGCCACATACAGAAACTGGTAATTCTGAGATTTATTAGCGTAAATTCTCCTTTATGATAATTGTTAGTGTGAATGGCTTCATGGAGAGTTTTAATAGAAATCTGAAAAATAACTGTTTATTAGCAAGGGAAACTTTTTCCTAGTGATATCAACTGGTGGCTAATAAAGACTGCAAAGTATGACTGCAACTCATTTTTTAGATTTGCCGAACTTATTTGTGTATAAACACAGTAACATAGCCTCATGTTCTGTCAATGCCAATAATTTGATAGTGAGGTAAATTGTGGATATGCCCAGACAGATACTGAGGCCAAACGTTACGATTTTCTGAATACTCTCAACTTTCTGTCTTCAGTAAAACTTACGTATTGCATGGGATATATTTACATTTTATTAATATTCTGTACAGCCAAATATGCCCTTGTTCATGAACAGAAGACAGGTAACTGACAATCCCTGATTATTTTTCTCTTGTTATTTTCTCCCTAATGTCTATTTGAGTAGTTTATGAGACCAAAACTACATCTGTGCAACTTAAATGCAAAATTGTGCAATAAACATATTCCTGGAGTTTTGTTAAAACACCAGCTGCTGAAAACCTTTTCTACTTGCTAGTACATGAATATGCTGTTGAAAATTGTGTACAATGAATTTAGCAAGAAACTGGGAATCCAGTTAATATGGCCTTTATTATTACCATATTGTTTGAAAAATACTTTTATAGCTTTTTTTTTTTTATTGCACAATTCAAGATTGGTAACTACAAGAATACAGCAAAAGAATTTTCGGTATTTCTTGCATAAGAACAAGTAACATATTGTTCCATTTCAGTGCCAAATAAAAAGTTAAAAACACTAGGCAGAATCCTAGGGCATTTAACTCCTAATGTGATGTGGGTTTGTGTCGTGCATTGCAAGCATCCTTCCTGCTTCTAGTGCATCTGAAAGAGACCTTATCTGAAAAAGCCTGCATCAGTCCAAATGTTCTGAGGAAGCTAAATGGCTAATACTACTAAAATTCAGATAACAAGGTCAATTTTTCTGCCACCATCCCTCACTCCCCTGACAAGTCACTGCACAGCTCAAAACATTAGCCAGCTGTTAGACTTCTTCATGTTATTCAGATTCTTAGATGTGCAAATGGCCATGTCATTAAAAAAGTTACACATGTAAAACACTCAGGCTACCCTGATATCTCTATACATTATGTCTACATTCTGAGGCATGATGTTAAACAAATTTCTAGCACTTTGGACCTCCAAAAATTCTCTTAAATTTGGTATATAAATATACTAAGAACATGTGTTAATTTCCATGGCAGTTCTGTTATGAAACCCTGAAAGCCAAGACATTAATGCTTTGTATAAAAATCAGAAAATATCAAAGCATAATATTGTATCACACCAAAGAGTTGAAAAGATGATAAAATGCAGTGAGGGCCACTGTAGCAGAACACTGTTTTCCTTTTTCTGTGTTCTTGACACTGTACACACGAATAGACAATACATGTGCTTGAAGTTCTCATTCTGAATAAAAGATGACATATGGTGACATATGTTCTATAAAAGCCTCATGGTTAAAAAAGAGAACAAGCAAACATCAAAAAATATTTGTGTAAGCAAAACTATATTGGGCAAGTGACAATAACAGACAGCATATATGAACTATCAGTATTACATGGGACTGGAAGGAATTGTTAACATTTTCTCATTTTCTGTAATGAGATTGCTTAAGAACTGCAAATTTTAGTGTATTTCATTAAATAATACTTATGGCACTGCAAATAAACAGAAGGAAGGCAAACTGCACTTATTTGATGGTATTGACAGGTATTAGAATGGGATATTTCCAGTTGTCAGGGATCTACAATGATCATCTAGTCCCAATGCCTCACCACTTCAGGGCTGACCAGAAGTTAAAGCCCATCATGTAGGGCATTGTCCAAATGCCTCCTTTTAAGGCACTGACAGGGAGCCTGTTCCAGTGTCTGACCACACTCTCAGTAAGGCAGTGTTTTCTTATGTCCCATCTGAACCTCCCCGGTACAGCTTTGAACATATTCCCACATATTTGAGCATATATGCTGTCACATATGACAGCACATATGCTGTCACAGGATCCTAGGGGGATCAGCAAACCCCTCTCCACTTTCCATCCTCTGAAAGATGTAGAGAGCAGTGAAGTCACCCCTCAGCGTCCTTCTCTCCAAATTAGACAAACACAAAGCTTTCCACTCCTTGGCACCATCTGGCATAGATAGGTCCTCTCTAAGCAGAGCAGAAATACCAGCATCAAGGCTGGATCTTGACCAGTGGGAGGAAAATCTGTGCTTAAGGGCAGTATGTTTGCCTTTCCCTGGCTGCTCACCAGCTGTGCAGCCTGACATGTGCCAGTCCGGCATTGTCCCCTCCCAGGGACAGGACTTTGCACTTCTCCTTGATGAACTTCTAGGGGCTCCTGCCTTGGCAGGGTATGACCGTGGGTTGACACAGAGAGCAGCACCAAGCCGTGACTCCAGGCAGGGGGAGGGAATTGGTCACTACCATAGCGAGGCTGCACTGGGCAGCACAGGCTGGGAGAGCAGAGAACCAGGATGTGGGGGCAGAGGTTGGCACTGAAGAGCTCATGAGTGGCCTGGGGTGATGAGCTGTGGGGCACAACCTAGACCTGGAGACCACCCTGCTGGAAATATCTGCCCTGGGCCTGGCTACAAGAATGGGTCTGGATCTGGCTATCACTTGTCTGACAGAAGAGTAACAAGGACAGAACTGCCACCTGTCCTGCTGATAACACTGAGACTTCTTATGAGTTTCCATACATTCATTTTATTTGGATAGCAAGATCAGAGGGGCTGGGAGCCCTAGGGGGTTGGTGCATGCCCCAGCTGATGGTTCAGTTCCAGTTTGGCTAACCCCTGAGGCATCCTCCAAAGTCACGGATGCAGGGGTGGCTGAAGAAGCCCCAGGGCTACTTGCCTGCCTCTTCAGGGGTCATCATGGCCCCTCAGGAGAGGGTTCACTGCCCTGTGTGGAAGTGGAGGACTGAGGAACAGACTCCTCTGGCTCCTCCCGGGGCTCTTCTTGCTCCAACAATGATGGTAATGGGTATAGAGGGGTAGCTTCTGAAATCCCCATCCATGGCAGTGGAGGAGGTGTTGGGCATCTCATCCATGGTACATCTTGCAGGGCTGTCAAAAGTGCTGGGACCTGGGCAGGGAGATAGGGCTGGTGGGCCAGCAGACGACAAGCTTCCCTGCTGCACCGTCGCACAGCAACACGGATAAGCTGTTGCACAAATGTCGCCGCATGGTTTTGGAGGGATACCCCCAGCATCTGTACCAGGTGGTCTTCATCAATTCCGTGGTTGGTCAGGATGTCCGTGACAGTGTCCTCCACTAGGTCTGCCTCCATCCAGTTGTTCCTGAAGATCTGCCTTAACCTTGGTCGGACCCAGAGCACCAGAGTATCTAGGAGGCATGGGTGGTCCCGGAAAAGTACCACCCATTCCCCAGGCTGGAGGCTGCCCACAGGATGCCTGGGCATTCCTTCTGCAGCCCATGTTTGGGATGCTTCAGAGAAATGGAGGTCAAGATGTCTGAGGTCTCCTCTTGCCTGGTGGACAATGATGGATGGTGTCTCAGATAGTGCAATGACGTGCTCCATGTAGTCATTTCCTGTCCCCACAGAGTGCAAGATGGACAGAATCCTCCTCTTGCAGAGAGGGCACTTGGGTGTACTCTCTGCCCACTGCAGGATGCAGGTGTAACAGAACTGGTGCAGGCATGGCAATATGTAGCTGATCTCCTTCCAGCTGTCCAGGCAGATGGGACAGCAGTTGTCCACCTCTGTAGCCATGCTCTTCTCTGCAGTGGCCTGAGGGGAGCTGGGGTTATGAGTTGCTCCCATTCACCAGCATTGCAGCAGCAGGTTTTACTCTAGAAGGGGAAGAAGCACGAAGGCCATTGCCTGGACCCAGAAGGGGTGACAGAAATGTCCTGGTCCTCAGGAAGGAAAGCATCTTAGCTCCTCAGTAGGTTTCACCTCCCAGCTCACCTCTGCTGCTGCAAGCGCACCTCCTGGGTGTCCCCGATGCCTGAACCTGGCAGGGAGGGGGAAGATTCTTCAATGGTTCTGGAGTTGAACACAGAGAGCTGCAACAAACAACTCTCCTTGCACAATGCCAACATCAAAGGCCTCACTCAACATTCCAAACCTTGCCAAATGCTCATCAGGAGTCACAGATTCATGGAATAATTTTGGTTGGACAGGGACCTTCATGATCATCTGGTTCCAACCCTCCTGCCATGGTCAGGGGCACCTTCAACTAGAACGAATTACCCAGTGCCCAATTCACCCTGGTCTCAAACAGCTCCAGGGACAACACCCACAGCATTCAAAACTTTCCTGGGAAACCTGTTCTAGTGCCTCACCATTCTAACTAAATAATTCCTTCCTAGTATCTAATCAAAACCTTCTGTCTTTCAATTTTAACCCATTCCACCTTATCCTGTCACTATATGCCGTTGCTGTTGTAAATAGTCTTGCCTCATCTTTAGTGTAGGTTCCCTTCAGGTACTGGAAGGCCGTGATAGTCACTCCAAAGTCATCTCTTTTCCCGGTTAATCAATCCCAATTCCCTCAGCCTTTCTTCATAGGTGAAGTCCTCCATCCTCTAATCATCCTGGTGGCCTTCTCTGGACTCACTCCAACAGTTCCGTGTCCTTCCCCATGCTGGTACCCCAGAGCTGGATGCAGGGTTCCAGGTGGGGTCTCACCAGAGCAGAGCAGAGCAGAGGGACAGAATCCCCTCCCTCCCCTGCTGCCCACGCTGCTTTGGATGCAGCCCAGGACACGTTTGGGCAGCTCCCCCAAATCCTTCTCCCCAGAGCTGCTTTTGATCTGTTCATCCCCCAGCCTAGATTGATACTGGGGCTTGTCCTGACCCAGTTGAAGCACCTTGCACTTGGTCTTGTTAAAACTCATGAGGTTCCCATGGGCTCATTTCAGGAGCTTGTCTAGGGTTCTGTGGATGGCATCCTGTCCTTCAGATGTGTCTGGGCCTGAGCAGGCTAGGTGAAACTTGGTGCTCAGGTGTAAGGAGTGAGGGATGTTGGGTCACAATCCATCTCTAGGTGATACCACAATGGGCCATCAACACCCAGGCCATCTCACTACATGCATTTGGGGTTACCTCTACACCAATGCCAACTCCATTCCCCATCTTGTCATCTTATACTCACATTGGTGTTACGAGACAGTCACTGAGGCCTTGGATGTGCCTTCCCAGAATCCTGCCAGTTTGCTCTGCCCATGACAGACATCTCCAGGCTCTCCACATACTCCACACTGCTGGCCAGGCCTTTGGGCTCTCCTGCTTTCTCCCATGATGTGTCACAGGCAACACTTGGCTTCCTCTGGCATGTATTGCCCTATCTTTGTTCTCTAGCCAGAACGAACTCTGGAAGAAGTTCTGGAACTTCTGTAAGGAAGAGGGTGACTCCCTCTGCTCAGCATGTATCAGAATTCTTCCATGCACTGTGTCCTCTTTGGGATCCTGGAGTCAGATTGACAAATAAGTGAATCTCCATCCTTTAAAGCAAGGGTGCTCTGTGAAGCTGGAACTGGTTCAACGTGGAGCTGACAAGGTATTGGGACATCTCACAGCTCAGACTTTTCAGGTGTTTCAAAGAATGAGGACGTCCCTCATCAAAAGAGTGGGAACAGATTCATGGGAGGGTGAGAGATGGTAGCATCCCCTGAAACTAGAGAGTTTTAATCTGGAGATAAGGAATAAAACCAAAATTGCTGTAAGAATCACAAAGCACTGAAGTGAGTTGCCCAGGCCTTCAAATCCCGAGTGGCCGTAACCCAGAGCTGTCACAAGTCACAAGCCCGTGAACAGATGCTGGCTGAAGTCCCCAAAGAGAAAGCACCGACAGTAGGAAACATAGTAAAGGTCCCCAAAGGACCAACAACTTTGAAAAGGTTTTTACTTCCTGGTTGCATTTGGTTCAGGAGTTTTCACAAATTTTTAATTAGGACAGAATAGAGTAGTTCCAGTTGGCAGGGGCATACAACACTCATCTAGTCCCATTGCTTGATCACAGCTGACTAACTGTTAAAGCCCTGGGGGGCATTGTCCAAATGTCTCCTTTTAAGGTGCCACCAGGTATGGAACATCAACCATCTTTTTAGGGAGTCTTTTCCAGTGTGCAACCACTCTCTCAATAAGGAAATGCTTCTGAATGTCCACACAGTCAGCAAAGTGTGCACCTGTTCATCTCACAGCTGGACAAATTTCCAAAAGGATGCTATAAGGGACAGTATCAAAAGCATTATGAAATCCAAGAAAACCACATCCACCTCCGTCTCTTTACCCACTAGGCAGATGACCTAATTGTAGAAGCGTCTCAGATTAGTCAGACTTCCCTTTGTGAATCCGTGCTGAGCCTGATGATTGAGTTTCCTTGAAATGCCATTCATTTCCAGTAGTGTCTTCTCCATGATTTTTCCAGGTACTAAGGTTAGACTCACAAATCTGTAGTTTCCTGTGTATTCCCTCACATATTTTTAAATTGTAATGACTGTCCAACTTCCAGTCAGCAAGGACCTCCCCAGACACCCATGACTTTTGAGTGGGGTCCTACTGTCACATCCAACAGCTCCTTCAGAACTTTGGGATTAATCTCATCGGGTCTCATGATCTTATGAACAGTCAGGTGATACAGCTGGCCCCTTAATTTCTGTGCACAAATGGAGAGTCACTGTTCCTGCAGTTGTGGTCCTTTGACTCTGAGGTCTTACCAGTATTATTAAGGGGAAAAAAACCAGAAATACTGAATACCTCCAGTTTTTCTGGGACTACCTTGAACAAAAATTGGTCCAATGTTTTCCTTGGGCCTCTTGATATTAACATGTTTTACAAGTGCACAACACTGGCCATTTTCAACTTTTATTGAGCTTTGGCCTTGCATGCCATCTCCTGTGTTTGCGAACATATATATGATCTTCCTACAAGTTCTAATCTTCTAGGTATCATCCCATCTTTTTTTCTTCCCAAGTTCCAAGAGGAGTTCCCTGTTAAACCAAGCTGGTCTTCTGTCCCTCTTGCTTGACACTTGTGACACAATAGGATGGTTTGCTTCCACACTTTACAACAGTGGTTCTTTAAGACTGACCAGCACTCATGGAGGCCTTAAAAGCATATTCCTAGTGCATACTTCAAGGCAGCTACTTGAGTAGCTGAGAATTTGCTCTCTTGAAATACACAGTAGAAATTATGTAGAACTTTTTTCTCATTACATTAAGAGTTTTGAAATCAACCACTTCATCATCACTGTGGCCACGACAAACACCTACCATCACACGCACAGGTACTTCTCTATAAATAGATAACATATATAGGAAGGCATCTTCTCTAGTTGGAGGATTTGTGGCAAGCAATTATCTTCAGCTCCAGGAATCGCCTAGACTTGTCTGTAACATCAATATGGTATTTCCAGTAAATGTCTGTGAACTTGGAAGTCTCCCACAAGGACAAGAGCTGACAATCCAGAGATTTTTCTTAATAGCTTATAGAATAACTCCTCAGTACTAGTGTTAAAAAGGTATGGAAGGGAGGTGCAGTCTTTTGGTTTATACATTAATCCACATCAATTTTTGTATCAACAATAAATTTCACTGTAAATCCAAGCAACACAGTGATATATACATGGAAACCAAAAATAATGGCTTGCATCTGAGAGTCCGCTAGGGAATTTTCTCTTTCTATACTAAGAATATGATATGATCTATACTTGTATATGAGTCATGTAATGTCTCTGCACTGGTCTCTCCACATATAAAAAAACCAAAAGTGTGGCCTGTAGCTGACATTCAGAGGGAGGAAAACCACTTCTGCAGTCTGAATTCTTTAGAAACCACTCTGGTTTTTTTCATGTCTCTCATCTTCTTAACAAGTGCAGGTTGAGAAGGAAACTGCCCTTGTTAAAAATGCTACAAACTTCTCACTTTCATGTGTTATGTTTGATGTGAATAAACAGTTAAGTACCATGACAGATTGTACAAAAAGTCAGGTCTCTCTCAGAAGATTTTAAGTGTGATGTCATATAATGAATCTGAGTAGTAAGAAAAGCCTGAGAGCCTCCTGGTTCCATGTTATCACTATCTGTTTCAATCTGTCGACGTGACATTTGTGAATCTGATGCTTTCATTTACTATCTTGCTTCATGCTTTTCTTAATTTTATTTTTTTTCTGATAATCCTGCTCATCTTCTTCTTATAATCCTGCTCATCATGTGATAATGCTTCTTAAGGAAAACATTCTCCTTTTGTTCATGTGTGGCCTCAGGAGATTACAGAAACACTCCAGAGACTACACGCCAGTCTGCTCTCTCTTTTTCACTTGTACATATCATGTCTTCAAAAACTGACTCAAAGTGGCCTTTACTCTTAAAAGAGCATTTGAGTCTATCTGGATAACAATGGACTTAGACACACTGCTGCTGCTCCAGAGTGATTTCCACATGTCCTACAATTGTCGACTAAGAGGTTTTTCTCTCCTGTTAATTCCCATGGGCGGATCTCAGAAAGTTTCTGTCTGTACCAGTAATGAACTACCTGAAGCTGTTTCATTTTCCCATCCATTGCAGTTAGTTAGATGCTCAAATTTTCTACAGGTTGCTGAAGCTATCTCTTGAAATAAGGAAATCACAGTCATTAGTTCAGTCCCATGAGCAACCGCTGATTAAAATCTCAATTTAGCCAAAGCCTATTGCCTTGATTTCTGCATCCTTGCTCAGTTTGAAATGTTTCTTTCTTCAGCTATCTTTATGGTCCTTATCAGCCCATCCTCAAAAAGCACTTATGGGTTCTAAGCATAAATGAATAATCCTAGTTAAATTTAAAAATTAAAATATTAAGAGTTGATCTTAAAGAAAGTTGTCCTCCTTGTTTATTCCTGTTCTACAGGCTGCATCTCTCAATATCAAGCTGAGTATTATGGGGTGTTACATGGTATGCTTCCCATCTACATCTTCTGACTCCTGTGAAATTAGAAAATCTGAATTCTACTACCTTACTATTGCTTTAATTTGGCATAAATTTTCTGGCTGCACTGTATTTACATGAGACAAAAGAGATCCAGTTTTCAATAAAAATCTCATTTTTTTATGGTAGAATATTTCTGTGTGATGTAATAGGGGTGCAGAAAATGGAGAGAATGTTAAAAGGAAAGCAACAACAGTGTATTCATCAGGAAAGTGTGGCTTGACAACATGCGTATTTGTTATTTATTGAACGAGTCTTTCTTTACACAATGTGGTGTAATAATTAGATTTCAGTTTTCTGGAATTGTCTGCCTCAACTTTGATAGAAGTATTTTCTGCAACATCTTTGAAAATGCTTGGCTCCAAAAATTGTTAATTATGTCAGAGTTATTTCACAGGAAAAAGCCTAACTGAATCTTTTGGATCATGAAGCAAAATATGCCCCTTTGAGGGGTAGGTACTCCTTGGAAAGGTACTCAAGTGTTTGGACAAAGGTAGATTTGTTTTTAGAAGGCTGCATACACATATTTTTTTTTTTATACTCATTCTCTTTTCAAGTATCCCTGATTCAGCTAAAGCCACAGTCCTAAAATATCCATAGACCAAGTGACTGTATACGGCAAATGGTGGTTTTCCTGAAGTGCAGTAGAGTGTCTCATCGGAATTTCAGTCAGGACTATTCATGGTTATTAAAGTACTTAGGTAAAAGAAAAAAGAAATAAAACTACAGATGCCAATGTTTTTTATTTAAATTCAAGGATGACTGAAAGTCCAAGGGCAGTCTGCAATTCAGTAAAAAGATTACTAAATCTGAGATACGAAAAGAGAGACAGGTTACTGGAATAGAAGGTGTTTTTCTTGGAAATGGTACAGTGTATGTGTTTGCCTATCTGTCTATTTATAACATGAAACATGACCCAAGCACATTTTTCCTGTGCAACATTTTATTAAGTGTTGCACGGCTTTTGAATACTTAGGTAATGGTGAAATACACTCAGAAGCTGCTATTATGAAATGTCCCAGTTTTCTCTCAAACTTGTCAAAAACCCTTTAGTAACAATAATGATAATGAATAAACCAGTTTGTTGTTCCATCAGGTTTTGAACCTGAGTTGAAAAGAGAATGGTAGGGAGTAATTTTTGTTTCCCTGAAAGTGCATTTCTGTAGCTCTCCGAGATACTTTTTCAGAGTTTTATGCAGAAGCAGTGTCTGTTCAAAACTTTTGCTAAATTTATGCCTTACTACATTTCTGAAGCATTCACTAGAGAAATGGGAGCTCTTATGTTCTTGTCTGTGACCATTTTACCACTCAAAGGTTATGGGAAAGAACATTAAAATGGGATAAAGAGCAACTGAATTTGCAATGAAATCAAAAGAATTTCTCTCAGTGTAGCTGATTAAGTACAGCATCAGGCAGAAACTTAAGTAAACATACAGTCATAGAAAAAAAAAGTTCCTACACAGGGGAAACGACTCCTTTGGTTCTTCTTATAAAAAGAATTGCTAGATGATGAGTATAATTCTCTCAAGAACTTTGTTACAAACTTTGCTGCAATCTTTGTGCTCAACATTTGGAGCTTATCATGTCAAGTAGAAAGTACAACTACATGCAGCACGATAGAAACATTTCAGTTTCTATGAAATATGCCACTTGAAAATGGGATTTGCTTTTAATTTAGAACACTGTAAACACACTAAGGGAATCTAGTTTTGATCATTTGCCAAATATTGCACAAGTATTTAGACTAATAAATAGCCTTCTATAACAGGAAGTGTACTGTATATTTTATGTGTTCCCACAATTTTTAAGAGAAAGTCTCATCCCTTCTGTTTCACAGATGTTTATAGAGAAAAATATCCTAAACTAGGTAAAATAGCATATATTATTATCCAAAAAATGTTTCAATCATCAGCTAAAGGCTTAGGGAACATTAAGAGTACTTTATAAATAAGAGTACATTTTAACTAGAGGATTTTGCCCACTTAATATTCTTTCAGACCCCGGATTAAAGTCTTGTCTTACTGAATAAAACGAGATGTATAGTTAAGAAAACAATCATAGGGTCTAACATCTCATTATTTTCATTGTGAGCATGACAAAGTGAGGCACATTCCAGCTGTAAGGAAAACCAACTAGTCTAATTTCCTATGCCATCATTACAACATGTGGATCAGACCTATAAATGTATGCTGAACATTGTATTCTGTCTTGTTGTTATCAAAGATATGATATGGATAAGGGTTATGATATGATATAGGGCTAAGGGTTTTGTTTTCTAAACTTTGCACTGTACTCTCCCTTTTGTATCCAAAATGTCTCAGGAAGGAAGTGAGCCCAAACAACCTCTGTGCTGTTTATGTCACTTAATTAAAGCTCTCTTAATTACATTCCTTTACCTTTCATCTTGAAGGGCTGATAGTATGGAAGAAGCAAAAATTACTCCAAATGTATAAAGAATGGTTCTACCTGTAACCCTCCTAACTGAGGGAAGGGGTGTGTGGATCTGGTGATGTAGGTATGTGTGGTACATATTAGATCGAGGAATGCATGGTTATCTTTATTTGGGTTTTCACAGGACAGACATGTTCTGTGGTTAACAGAGGTAATTACAGCTAAATTCTGCAGAAATTTGCTTTGACTTTGGGGAAGTCACAAAACAGCATACAGACTGCTCAGCAAGTTTTTGGAATGCATTAATAAAAATGTTTTGGTGCAGATATTGCAGTATGCAGTAATGAAAGAGCTTTAAAGTTTCCTTCTCACCAAGGAGTTTGAGAATGTTGAGAGTGTGGAGTAAAGTGACTTATGGATCATGACATGAGGGCAGGCTTACTTTTAAAAAAGATGGTGCAATGTCAGCAAACTGAAAAAGAAAAAAAAAGAAAAAAAAAAAAGCAGAAATCAGGACATCAAGTCAAAGAATTAGAAGTTTTAGTAGAACTGGTAAAGCACTGATGCCAAGGACAAAAAACAGGGAAATGTAGGAAGGGAGGCATTTGCTGAATGATGGATTTCACTGGCAGCAAACATAAGCAAAACATACAGAAGGTGGAAACTGGGTTCAGGTATGTAAACACATATGGAGATCTGAAATAGAAAATGAGAGAGATAAATCACCAGGAGCAAGAACATCAGCACTGTAAAGCTGAGAAGAGAATTGTTGCTCAGTTGCAAGAAAAAGAAGAGGAAATGATGACAGATAAAGCACAAAATTCAAAGGTTTCCTAGATTTTGATTAATATTCTCTAACAACATTAAGATAAGCATGAGGTCAAGACAATATCTCTACAGGACAGCATGAGAATAATTCAGTGAGCTTGACACTTTCAGATTGGCAGCCACCAAAAAAATCCACCTGTGGATTAATACAAATTCATACTAATGATTGATGAGACTCTTGCTCAAACAATCATCTGAAGATACCTCAGAATTTGTAGTAGCTATCCTTGAGAAATGGGGTGAAGCTCTAGGGAAAAAAAAATAAAAAATAGATAGTTTCTTTTAAAAATGGGAGGGAAACTGAAAAACTATGAATCGATCTACTTGCCAACACTACCAAGTTAGTGAGGAAATAGGTGAAAATACACAGGAGTTCATCGTGAACACATTTATCTGTTTTACTCTACCACAGCCCCTGATGGCTATGGAAAAGGGAAGAATAAATGGATGGTATATATCTTGACTATTGTAAGGGTCTTTTTCATGACATGACAGATGCATACTAGGCCAGGGATTTGTGCTCAAGATGAAATTGTTAAGATGGGGATGGCAAAAGCACTTACATGAAAATACCACATGGTGAGTTATCAGTTTTTTAATCTGAAAAACACCTGGAGCAGAGGGTATTTTTCAGTAGCCTGCACCTAGTTTCCTATATCAAATATTTTCAGTAAAATTACAAAGCTGTAATAATGTGCTTTTTAAATCTGCAGATAATCTGAAGCAGTAAGAAACTGTGTAAAGTGAGAGAGGTTTAAGACTGAAAATGGTGTTGGCAAAATTGGAAAAAGGATATGCAGGTGAATGGATGATACTCAACAGTAAACACAAGACAGATTATTCAAACAAGAATGTTCAATTGCACAATCGTGTGATGAGCATCAGCTGCCTCACAACAAGCCTCCATGGGTGAGACATGTGACTTGGCTTGCCAGTTGATCATGAGTTAACAAGGTCATGATGTTGGAAGAAAAGCATATTGGGACATATGAACAGAGGAACAGTTTAAAAGATGTAGATGAAACTTCTTCATTATGATGGCTTTGGGGGTTTTTTTGGACAGTACTTTCAAGAAGAAAACAAAGCAAAATCCAAACAATAGCAGAGAACCCAGAGCAGGACCATGAAAAGCTCACCAAATGCAGGACCTACATAAGAAACTGGCAAAATTAAGGTTAGTTAACCTGTAAACAAGCAAAAAGAAAATGACTAAGGAGTAATACAGAGAAGAGTCTTCATGTGCATAAAATGTTGCTGCAAAGATTAGATTAAGATACTCTGTCTATTCAATGGCAATAAGATGAGAAGAAATAGTCTTCAACAAAAGCAATAGTTAGAACTGCTCAATAAGAACAACTCACATTAAGAATGTGTTGAAAAGTGCTGGACCAGATAATTTGTGAAGGCTATGAAATCTCTCTCACTGGACATATTTAAAGGCACCTTAGATAAGGATCTGTCAGGATGTTACTTTTCTGAGAAAGGGGATAAATAGTCTGTTTCTTGAAGTTCCTTTAGACCAACCTTTGTGCAGTTCTGTAATCTGTCTTTGCCCTAGTTGCTTATCTCAATAAACCTTCTCTGCCTCAGAATGAATGTATAAAAATCATTATTTGCAGTGTACTTGGGAACAGTGCTAATCAGATTGCTGTTTTATGAGCACAGGAAAAGAATCAATGTTTAGATAATTTTCAAGGAACTCATGCAGTTATCTACAGCTATACAAACTATGTGTGACCCTACTTGGGAGTAGGCTCAGCTGTACTTGGATTTACCACTGCCAGCAATGTCATAGATTCACAGAATCACTGAACATCTCAAGTTGGAAGAGACATATAAGGGTCATGGAGTCCAACTCCCTGTTCACCATAGAATTACATGAAAATAAACATATGGCCAAATTATACGACGCTTGTATTGTTGACTGTCTTTCACTAGATGTTAGTGTTTTACTTTTATCCCCACCTCCCGTTCATCAAATATTTCTTTTCTTTTTTTAGCTTATCACTACTGTTACAAGCAAAAGCTTACAGAGTGAAATTTAATACAATTGGATGACATGTTATTTTTTTATAGCATGTAAAAATACATATGGAGCCACTATGATTTGCTCTGGGTCTGACTTCAGCCACTATTGAAAATTACTATTCCCTTATAAAACAAGAAAATGTCTGACAGTAGTTCAGCTATTTCTGCTCCCTGAATGCTTTTTGAGTTGTGGTTCTATTCTAGAAATACGTGTTTTTTATAATCACACTTTTTGAAGGGAATGTTTGATTTATAAATTATTTTCATTCTATTTTAAACTTGCTACTACACTGTATCTGACTCCTACCTAATTAAACACTTCTCTTGCCTCATCAATTCCTGTTTGAAATGCCAAATCATTGCTATTATTTTTTATTGCATAATATTATGAATTATATTAGTAAGAAAACCCAACCTCTTTTAAAAACTTGATCTCATTGGATGAAAAATTGCCTACAAATCTAAGAAGGAACTCGATTTACTTAAAAATGCAGAGAAACAGAAAGATGTGATAGCTCATATTTATAATGTGAAAAATCTGTACAGTCCAACAATGATGTTTTTGAAACATTACTTAGGCTGCAGTAGTAGGAATACATAGGAATTACTTTGGAAAATATAATTCTTAAGGCATTCTTAAGGCAGTAATATCTTTGACTAGACATTAATTTTTTTATTTCTGACCATTTTCCTTACTTTGATTTCAGATATTGAATCACAGACACCAGAGTTGGAAGAATACAGTTAAGTCATATCTACCATCAATGCCAAAGGACATACTCTTCACTATTTTTCCAGGATAATCTAAAAATTGTCAAAGTATTGTATTTTTTATGTTGCATAAATTCTCTTACTTGTTTTCATTACCATGAATCTGATTGCTCCTAATACAATTTAAATGAAAGTTTTCTCTTTCTGACAGTACCATGTACCACCACCATGCACAGATCTGCCTAGACTCAGTATCCATCCTTGGTTTTATGAGCCACCCCTTCTCAATTACCTTATTTTTTAAGGAGCATGGGCTTCTCAGAATGAGGAACTGAAAACGACTAAAATTAAGACCTTGTTCTGTATCAGATTAAAGGAGTTAAAATCCACATTCACTTCCAAATGCAGGAGACTGGAATTGCATTATGTCTTTCTAGTAACACAGTTAATGAGAAAGTACGTCTAAATTAACTTAAAAGGCAGGGGAGACAGAAGAAATATTCATAATTCAGATTAAAATTATACACAAAAAACTAAGAAATTTTTATTTCCAGGGTGAATTAAATAAAATCCTGCCCTTAATGTAGTCGTAAGGGATACAGACATTCAGTTCAGTGGCACTGGGATTTTTACTGTATTAATACTTGAAACATATTCAATACTTTTAATTTCACCTGAAAGCACTGTGGAAGTTTTCTACCATTTTATTTTCAAAGAGTTGAATGTATAAAAATGTTATATTTTATGAACCATTCAACAATAACCCAGTTTCAGTTATCTGATTTAATTTGAACCCCAAATTCAAAAATTTAGAGTGTTTTATAGTAAAAGTTACTAATGTACATAAAAACTGAATATATATTCATTCTGTTTAGTCAATTAAAAGATAGATGTCTTTTTTTCCCTCCTTCTCTTCCAATAATGTCTTGTTGTTTGTCTGCCAAGTCTTGTAAAAGGAATTACTTTCTTTGGAAGTCTTTGGAAACTCCTACATGTATAAAAGAAAATAATTCAGTAGCATTATAGCATAACAAAAGTTATAGCCAACAATGTTAGGGCATAACTGGGGAATTAAATCTGAACACACTATGAAACCATTTAGGGGAAAAAAGCATTAGCAAATGCATATAATTTTGTTTGTGTAATTTGTCATTAAGAAGAGAAAAACAAATATGTCAGAGGTGAAAGTTCAATTTTATGAAAAACCGTTCCCATATCTTTAGTGCTTATTCCAAGGGAAAATTGCAGGTTTTACAGTCAGTTCTGGCATTTTCCTGGGAGAAAGTGAGAACATTTCTCTCCCTTTCTGGTAAGAGTCTTGCAGCAGCTTTGGGAATTGTTGAGATCAAGACTGCATTTACTTTCCTTTTTGCCTCATGGAAACTTTGTTACTGTGATTTCTGCATACAAGGTATTCTTAGAGAGGCAGAATAAAGGAGAAATACAAGGTCACCTACAAATTACCTGAGAAATTTTACACATCCTTTATGACTGACAAGCTCAGAGCTCCAGACAATTAATAGATCTTACACCATATTGTTTGAAAACTTTTATTTTCTGAGACAAGAGAAATTGAGAGTCTGAGTTTGCTAATTGTTTTTCCTGTATCCTTGATGTCTCTCACATAGGTGGCTATGCCACCTTGAAGCAAAAGGTTTTTTCCCTTTTTATGTCTAAGCTCAGGCAACCTTCCTATGTGAGGACATGACCTGAACTGATGCTAATAGATCATTCATTGTTATTCATATTATTTTTGATAATCTTACAAAGCTTGAATGAGTAACTTCTTACTTTAGAGCAGTTCATTGCTCCACCAAGGGGAAAAAAGTGTAAAAATGTACAGTGTGTACCTTGTTTTGTCCTTATAGTAAATATATAGAAAATATAGCTTTAAACATGGTTTAAGTATTTAAAAGTATTTAGCAGATGTTTGCACGGATTTAATTATTTTATGATACTGCCTTAATATTACCATATGGCACCACTTTTCTATAAGACACATTTGTGTTTTAATATCGCTTATTTCTAAATTCTAGATCCTTCAAGATGGAAATATTGCAACTTAGCCTGTTTGCATGACTTTTGACAGAAGGATGAAAACTCAGCAAAAGGCACATCCTTGGCACTCCAGTGAGGTCACTGACTAAGTGTAGTACTCTTCAACAAGAGATGGAGATGATAAAAGCTGGCATATCTTTCAAGACAATTAATTTCCTCCAAAAATCTTAGAAATGCCTGGGCCATTTGGTTTAAACTTAGACAAAGCCTGAGGCAGTTATTCACCAGGCCAAACCTTAGGCTGAATGGCTACATTTATTACAAGTGTAAACTGTTTTAAAGTGTGGACAGGGGGACAAATGTAGGCAGCATTGGTGTATAGCATGAAATAGTTTTCTGCTTTTGCTCTTCAAATACAGAAAAGAAACAGTGTGTCTGGATGAATAGCTCTGTGCCAGTCAGCCTCCAAATAGTCAAATGTCTCTCATCTACTCAACATCCCACACACAAATGTGTGTGGGAATGCTTGTAAATTTAATGAAGTGCTGACTGAAAGAAGTTTATGCCTGGCTTCCAATTAAATACTAGTAAGATAAGCTTAGGCAGCATAAAATCCTTGTTATTATGAAGATGGATTATATTAGCTATCAGCAACCTCTGACCGCCCAACTTTAAAACATTGCCAATATTTTTTTTCAGTGGGACCCTCTCTTGATTCCAGTGAGGTTTGGATTGGTGTCTTAGATGTGCAGGTGTTGCTAATACAGGGTAAGTATTCAAATACAAAACAAAACAAGTACAAGAAGTGGTTTATATATTTATCTTGTACAAAAATCTAACCTAGAGGTAGAACAGAAGAGGATACTAGTCCTTTTTCTTAGATCTCCCAGCTCTGTAGCTGGTGGTTCTTCATGTATTCCATTCCAACTGTCTCTTGGCTCCAAGATTAGGCAAGATCTGGGCATTTATACCTCTGTTAGAGAAGGTACAGAACAAAAAGAGTCCATATGCCACATCTTCACCTGTACCCTTTATGGGGCCTGACTCTATGACATATCCTTAAGGTAAGTGCTTTGGCCTCTGTTACTCTGTACAAATAGTAAGTTCCTCAGTTATCTTAGATGCAAAAAGTGAGATTTACTGCTGAGTTTTTCTAAAAGCGAGCCTGGTATCATGATAAAGAATATTTCAACACCAAAACTTTAGGACACCTAGGTGCACTTCTGGGCTCTATAGGCTTTTGGAACCTCCATGAGGGAACGTGGACATTTTAAGACATTGCCAATAAAGTAATGTAAACAGCAGACAATCTAAGCTATCCAGTAGGGAAATACTGAGGAAAAATAGATTTTAAATACTTCATCCTATCCACAAAGCTGTTTAGTTCTATTATGAAGAAACAAATTGCTTTGCCATTTACTGAGATTTGAACAAATATATTCAGAAGGCTGCAGCAACTCCTCAAATATTTTTTCTTTCAAAATCACTGTCTTCAAATTGTTGCAATTATCTGTTTCCTACCTTTGTTGCTAGTTTCCTATTAGCAAAGTGTAACAGCTGGTTACATTCTATGGTGGAAATGGGAGTGTAACTCACTTGGTGCCACTGAGCATCTTGTAAGCGCATTTTTACTCGAAGACATACTGTATCTGACAAGTCTGACAGACCACATAATATAGCTAGTAAGAAGTTTCAGCCAACACATGTAATTGAAGACTTGGATACAGTAAAAATGACTAAAAAGACATGCAAAAACTGATCTCAGAGAAATGTCATTTTGTGAGCACACCAACATTAATTTGAATAAATCTTTAAATGGTACCTCAATTAACTTTTCCTGTAGTGAATATAAAGTATATGTACCAACTCTTAATTAAAATGTATTTATTTTCCAATCATTAACATTAAAAAACCCCCATGTGTCACCTTCACTTCATGTTCATTATTGTGCATCTGTTTTGGTATATCTAATAGCTCAAGGTTAGTTTTATGATACACTTGTACATATATTTTACATACAACTTTAAAAACAACACTGTATTTTCTGTATTTGAAAGAGAAATTTCCTCCATAGACTTCAGTAATAAAATGCCTTACTCTTTGTATATCCCTGTATACTTATTCCTTTTAGCTTGTTATCTAAACTTTGCTATTTGAACAATGATCTTCTTCTCCTCTAGTCCAATTTTTAAAAAATATTTGATTGTGTAATGAAATTCTAACTGAATTTGTGACATCAATTGCTTTCATGACAACAGAGTGATGCTTTAAACACAAGATTATGATTAATACAACACAAGATTGAGTGAAAGGGAAACAACTCCATGAGCAAGCAAGATTTCATTAGACTCAGTGGTGTTCAGTTAAAAATGTGGAGGAAAGGAATATAAATGCTGAATACACTTCCGCTTTTTAGCATTACAATTCTGTGTGGTGGTCCATACACTGTGGTTATTTCATATATTTACAATATTTGATGTAACTCAGACAAATACATTAATCTTATTAGTGCATACTTAACTTAAAACATGGTGAGTTTTCATGACTTGTCACAGTGCTACACAGGCTCAGGAGATGCAGTAGGCTCTGATCACATCTGAAAAATCATGCTGGGAACATTTCAGGCTTAACTTTGAAAAACTGGAACACAGGCAACTGTTTGGAAATACGGCTGTAGATTAATTTGTCTTAGTAAGTTTCTGTGCAGTGGCTACTGAAATGGTTGTCTAGTCCTGCTCTGCCCAAGATGCATGAATTCAGAGAGGCATATCATAATTCTTGTGGGCTTCACTGGTAGAGGGTGCCCAGATGATATAGTAGAAAGATGCTGAGGATATTCAATACCTCCATTGCAAAAAATATTGTTATAATTAGAGCCTAATTAATACATGGATTAAGAATAATAGGTAGAACTGTCCCAATATACCAAATTGTATTAAATATATATTTCAGTTTTCACAGTTTACTAGCTCTTCTGAACATCTTGGGAACTTTTTTTACTAAGTAGTTTTAAAATACTTTAAAATACTTTCCATGCTTCAGAACATGGAAATTCCCCATTTTTGTTCATACATTTACTTCCTTCACCTATTGGTAGACTGCATCTTCCACAGGATAATGGCATGGCTAAAAGACTTCAATGAAGAGGAGAACCATGTTCTTAACTCTTTTTTTCAGGTGCACTGTTGAAACAGTACAAATGCTGCAAAGTTTCTGAATATTAGGGGCCATTTTTGAAGCAGATGGCTGTGGGCAATGTTAGTTTAATATACTGGCCTAGTCTTGGAAATTTTGTTAACTTTTTTTAAGTCTTAGACATGGTATATTGTGCTGTGGTTGGCAGGTAAGATACTTCACCACACATAAGGGAACAGGATTATAATTTCACATTCCAGACATAAATTGATATACACAAAAAGACAAACTATCTAGAAAGAAAATGTTAACTATGATTTTGAAAATAGGTGTTTGTTGTTCTCTTTTTTTTTTTGTAAATACGTTTGATGTTTAATTTTAAAGAATAGCAAAAATTTATTCCTAGATGAGATCCTATTTTTTATAGATCTACAGAAATAAATTCCTTGCAGAATGCTGTATGAAGCAAAGTGACACAGAGTCCCCAGGCAGGTGCAATGGAGAGCTGCTTTATTGCAAAAACCTGGCCTTTTTAAGCAGTTAGTCAGTTATCAGTTTTCATAGTTTAAAGGCACAACAAGTCACACACCATGTCTCTCATGTCTCTCTACCCTTATTCCAGCTGAGTCACTCTCCCATAGTTTCTTCTACTCAAACTAAGTAGCAGGCCTGAGCCCTGATTTTGCAAAGGTAACAAGCCCCTTATTTTACAAGGCTTTACCTAGATGCAACAGAATGCTAAGAAATTAGAAGTCTGAAAAATGCTGTGTTGGAAGTGGCTGTTCACTGGCACTGGTGAATAACTCTGTATTGAGTCTGTGACCAGGCATATAAGTAAGTGCCTGCTAGCTACTTACCACATATTTTTCTTTTTCTTCATGTACCAATTGCTAGGTTCATTGTTCTTGATCTTAAGGATCCTGCTTTCTTGCATAGTCAAGTGACTTACACTGGTGTGATTAAATAGAAGTAAGGTTATAATGAACCCATTTTGACAAAACTAGTCCCTTAGATTATGTATTTTCCAAATTCATCTATTCTTGAATCCATGTGAGATGTGAAGATTGTGATTATTTAACCCATGCTCTGTCCTGGAAATTTGGCTCATAAGGCCATACAGATGCTTTGTGACATTAGAAGAATTCTATATAGAACTGAATAGACTTTCAATGAAAATGGTTATTCAACTTAGGAGAGTATCTAAATTGCATCAATATGTAAAGAATAAAGAATGCAGGAAAATATAGTTAAGGCTAAGATGTAAAAGGTAATTTAACCTAATGAAATTGAAGAGAAGACCAAAAAAGAGTCCGACATTTTCACCATATGGTGTGAAAATAAATGTGAGGCATTTCTTAGAAAGAACGCAATATATTCAGTAAAACTCTGCACAATATATTGTTCATCATAAAAGACTAAACATGCATTTTATATTGTAAAATGTAAGCTTACATTTTTTAGAGTGATTTGTGCATAAAGCATCATATTTTTCGAGCAGTAACTGCAATTATCTTCTTTAAAAATGCTGCAGTTTTTAGCAAAAAACTGGACAATACATATAACTTCAAGTATTATCTACAGTACATTGACTGTAAGCTGAATTTTGTATTTTCACACCCCCCCACCCCCCAAAAGAAATAAATTACCTAAACAGGAAGGAAAAGTAATTATGCTACTCAGAAATGTAACATATATCTTAACTCTTGGCTTGCTCATGGAGAGTAGTAAAGAATTACAACAAAAACAGGCTATGTAGTGTTTCTCATTTTTCTGTTACTTTTTTACATTACTTGAACATAAAGGACCAGGCTTCTCTTAGCTCCTCACAGTGAGCTGGCTCTCATGACAAATGTATTGCCTCCAAAGAGAGCAGAAGTTCTTGGTAGCTTCACTAGAAATCACAGTGTAGGGCACTTCTGAGGACAGAAGTATCAAAATATTTTTCATCTCCTGATTGTAATGGTAACAGAAATTTTTAATACATTTCAATGAGAGTGCTACTGAAATGTGCTTTATTACTTTAATTAAAAAACTTATAAACAAAATGTTATTCAGATGAATTTCCCCTTTTATTTCACCAAATGCTTTTGCAGTTGAAAACCCCACTCTCCACATTTACATACTGTTTTGATGAAGATAGAATTTGTTTGTTGCACAATGCTTCCTTCTGTGGGCTAATACCTAGTTTAATTTCATCCTTCTTGATATCACAGATTTGACAATACTGTTTTACTCTGTCCTTAGCTGCAGCCCTTATAGCCTTTCAACATACATAAAAGTACCCTAAAAAATCGGGAAATACATTTTTTACTGGACTTTCATGTCAAATACCTTAAATCAAATGCTGATTCCATTAGTTGTAATCTGGTAAGCTCTCCCTTGTTTCTGTGCTTCTTGTGCAGCTTTCACTGACCCATCCTGTCCTAGTGTGAATTTATGATGCTTGTATCTGCAGTTGTCTGTTCTGTTTGTGACGGATGTTAAGTTCTGCACCTTTAAGACTGGTTCTGAGACCAAAAGTGGGAAGAGAAGCACACAGTTTGTTTTCAGAAACTGCACTTTCTCCACTGCATTCTGCTCCTGTCCTGGACTGTGGTGTCTGCAGCACAGACATGCAGGAGAGAGCTCTCCTTTGCTTTTAGTTTTTTGGTTTTTTTTTTTAAGCTAGCTGAGGCAGAGAAGTTCCCCAGAGTGTGTTTTTTCTTTTTCTTGGAACTGTTCAAACTTGCTCTGGACTGAAAACCCAGGAAAACACCAGGAGCTCACACCTGGCCCACCAGGGCCTGGGACGCAGCATTTTCCAGTGCTGGAGGGACTGATAAGAGACTGAGTGAACCAAGATACACCCCCACGAGAAGAACTTTCCTGGATTTGCCATCTCTTCAGAACCGTGAGAGGTTTCACTGTTTAATATTTTTATTTTTTTTTTAATGCTTGTGAATACTTTGCGTGTTAAATCAACAGGTTTTTTCACTTTTCTCCAAGGAAATATTTTCCTGAGCCAGCTGGGGGAGGAGCCGCTTGAATTTTCTTTCCTAGAGGGACCCCATTTGGAGGTTTCCTCCCAAGATTTGCCCTAAACCAGGACACATATATACTACAGGAGAGCTTGCCCTGCCTGTTGCCAAAGCAAATATTCTTTCAGGCATAGTTACCATCACTGTTGGCTCTGGAGTTCTTCAGAAGGATAAGGGAGTACCTTCTACAGATAAGGAAGGGGAGTACTGCTTCAGACAAAGGTTTGCCTGATCATGAAGAAATTATTTTAACAATCTTAATATAACAGGGTACATTTACTGTAAGAAAAGTATTCCATGATGTTAGAGTTGGTTTGCAGTTTGCCTGGATGCATAGTTATTTAGCTGGCTCAAAACATTTCTGATGTGTTGAACTAGTTTAAAAACACAAGAAAGCTTTTTAAAAGCTTTGGCGAAAGGAGACATATCAGCACGTATGTATTTGGGAGTTGTAACTACATACAAATATATCAATTTTTAAGAATCTTCACTGTAAATTCTCTGTTTTCAGTATCTGTGTTTACATCTAACTTCATAAAAATAAACACCTTTATTTCATGTCCTTTATGGATAAATTGTGTGCTCTGCCTCAAAATGAAGCATTCTATTCATTTTATTTTATAAATAACTGTTCAATTCCAGCTTTAAGTACATAAGGGCCTCCCTAGACTCTGATCTTCCACTATTACAGAGCTGGAGGTGCCAATTTACTCATGGAAGAGGCCTTGCTCAGCATGTTTGTGTTCCTGTAATTGTTTTCGCATTATGTCTTGTTTATCATCTGAAGAGAATGGGCAGACAATTTTGGGAAGTAAGACTTTAAGAAGTCCCTGTAATTGGCTCACATATGCCATGTGCTTTTCCACTATATTAACTCAATGCATCTGTCTCTATTTTTAAGCTGAAGGTGTACATGCACAAATAAATGGGGCTGACATTAATTCAAAGCCAAGATCTGCTCTGTGCTCCAAAACATGAGAGACACATAGGTAGTTTTCAATAACGTGCTGCAGCTGGGTAACAAGTGCCTACTAAGCAAGCTTGTAAGCATACCTAAGTAGACTAAGTTTAGTAAGAGTAATTCATGAAGAGAAAAAGTTGTAAAAACATATTATATCTTGGCATTACAGTCTTAAAACTGCACTGAGAAGAAAGAAAATAGACAATCTAAGGAAACAGCTGCCTGCAAAACATACTGAATAGACTCAGTGCCAAAAAGGGAACATGCTGTGTGTGCTATATGCTTACTAATAATAAATAGATAACAAGGGTTACGTCTTTATCACTATCAGTTTTAAAAGATCAAAAAGGTTTTACAAAAAGTTAAAAATCAAGATTGGAAAGGCAAGTGTACAAGCTGCATAACACAATCAGAAAAATCCTGCTGTTGATAAAAAGCGAATGTATGAACTCTAGAAGAGACAAATGCTTCTGGATGGTGTGGAATTGAATCAACTTTTGGAAACCAGCTTAAGAGGGTGGATTGCTGATGGATCTCACCCTCAGATATCACAATCCCTTTACAGAGACAATTACTTTTCAATTTGTATCACAGACAAAGGACTTAGTTTAAAAAGCCAAAATTGGGTGCTACATTTTTCCTCTAAAACATGTTCACTCTCTTTTCACTTTACACATGGACACTGATATGCTCATCCAGAGAAAATGGAACAATTTGTTACACTGCATCTACATGAGTCAATTTAAGAAAATTAAAGCATCTTAGAACTAGGTGAGGTTCCTTGCCCATACTACTGCTTCATTGTACATACTGTCTGAACCCTTTCATTGTTCACTGTAAAACCACATATTATATAACTACACATGCAATTATTTTTCTGTCTTGTTTCAAATAATTTATTAGCATTTTAAAGAGCACTAGTCCCCTAACTGAACATCCATGAGTAGTTTCACACTCTTTGGTTTTAGGTACTTAATTTAGATCTAAAGTTGAGAGACCACATGCTTCTGTTATACCTAATTAACTGTGAGATTGTTCCTCTAGAAAATGAACCATGGCAGGTGCCGTGCACCAACGTATACAGAATAGTATTATTAAGAAACTTCTCTCCACAAACCACATAAACAGTGTCCCAATTTCTGCACTTCTGCACTGTGCTGTGTAAGTTGTAACAGCACTGCCCTGACCCCAAGCCCCAAACATCCCCCTTCAGATTATATTATCAAACAAAAGCCATAATCAAGCTACAAAAGGGGCTGCACATTTCACCTGTCAGTTTGAGTCTGAGAACCTGTAACCTGATGTAAATGGGCTTTCCAAGGCCAACTCCAAACCTAACATTAATTATGGTGAAGGACCTTCAAGTTTTTCCCCTTGGATTAGAAAATGACTATGGGACTGTGCTAGAAGTTACAGCTGAGTACAGAGAATTTGGTGAGCTAGTCTCTATCTACACTGGTTCTATTTTCATGCACTGCTTCTGTGGACATAAGGGAGCCTGAGTCAAGTTTTATTATAATCAATTTATTTTACCAATCACCAAGTATCAATATTTGGATTTTTGTGTGTAGCAGCAATCAGGCTACCAAGCAGTGTGATACGTTATTTAGGCAGTTACTTACAATTACTTTCCCGTTGCTCCATTTTTTTAAAATTAGGATATATCTTTAAATAATAATCTCCATGTCAACATACTTTACCTTTCCACGTACTACTATGACCCCAAAGCTGTATTTTAGAAGTAAACTACAGTGAAAAAAACAAGGAACAAGAGAATATGGAAAACTTTGCTTTCATCTGAGTCCTGAATTATGCTTGCATGTCAAGGAATGGGAGAAATTGAATATACAGTATAACAAAATGCAGTGTAGTATTAAATTATTGCAATAAAACACACATATGTGCACATCTTATAATGCAGTTTTACACATTAATAGAGAAAAAATGAACAGAAATCAAATTTTCAAGTCTTACACAAAGAAAGTAAAATCAGACATGTAAAAGAAAATTGCATTTCTAAAATTTTTGTTTTAAAAATGACTGGGTGTTTCTACAATGGAGATTAATCTGTTGGCTTGACTGCACTTACTGACCTCTGCTCAGAAATGTGTTCACTAGTTCTTCAGTCTGGGAACCACTGCATATGACTAAATGTCTGCCTTCAGCTTCAAGGCAACATTACGATGCGGCAATGAATTTAGTTCTGCTTTTAATTCCTTTCTATCTTCTGCATCTTTTAGAATAGTGCTGTCTCCCTGTTTCTATTGATGTAATTGGATATGACGTTTCAAAATTCCTTCTCATAAACTAAAATGTTCTTCAACTGCAAACAAAATTTCTTTATTTCTCTCTACTGGAAGTCTTTGGCACCCTGTGGGCTCTACTGGAAAGAGCTGTGAATCACAAGCTATTGCCCTGTTTAAATAGTAAAAGGTAATAAATGCAAGGCGATAGTCTGCCTATACCTTCCCCCACATGCACATTTGCCCTTCATGGTGCTCCACAAGAACAAATAGAACATTATATTTAGACTTTCGTTTCTCCAGAAGGAAGGCATGGAGGAGCTGCTGAGCAACCCCATGAAGGAATGCAGTAGCTAGGTTTCTGAAACAACAATCAAAATGGCTCCATCTGAGCCTCTGCTCAGAAGCAGTACAGCTTCATACCCCTGATTAAGTAACACTGAACTATGAAAATGGCAGGGGCTGGCTCAAAGGCACCTTTCAGTTCTCAAGACCTAATTTGAAGGAAATAAACTTGAAGAAGACAAACTTCACAGCTTTTTAGAACCTCATTACTGACCTGCGTTAACTGCAGTTATAACAACCTTTGCCAGGTTCTGTCTAAGGAAACAAGTCAACTTCTTTTATATCTAATGCATACTCTGGCTCAAGTAAATTGTTACAGCATTGACACACGGATTGTTGATATTTCAACCGTTTTGAAACAGGTCATAGAGGTCTTGAATCATGTGAATTTACAACAAAACATAGCAATTACCTCCTACCTCCATTGTTACCGCTTTCATTGTTTGACTTATTGCATGCTGGTATGTCTGTTGGTGTGCATGGAGGGCAAGCAGACACCATGGCAGTGTTGCTTAGAGACCTAAACCCGACTCTAATACACAAGGCATATTAATTTGATCCTCAGTTTTGCAACACAATGTATTCTGAGAGCCCCAAAACAGAAGGATGGACAATCCATGCAGTCTTTTATTGCAGCATACAGAACCATGTGCTACCTGGTTTCTGTTATTGACCATAGCTCCTTTCTTTCTTTAGAGCTGATGTCATGACCAGGCCTGGCCATGGCTGATGTGGAGGAAGAAGCCAGTGGTACTGAGTTCATGAGTGCTCATTCTGGTGCCACCACACACAGCACAACAGAGCCTGTGCATGCTGCCTTTAAGGCAGGATGTTCTCAAGTTCACTGCAAATAAACGTGTCGCACAACTTTCACATTTACTGATGAGAAATTTGTCCACACACCTGCATATTTCAAGCTGTGTATGAGAATCACAGAATCCTAGAATGTCAAGAGGTTAGAATGGACTTCAAAGTCCATCCTGTCCTAATCCCTGTCCCATGGCAGAGACCTCCCCCACTACACCAGGTTGCTCGAGGTCTTACTCCAATGCTACGAGGGATCGGGCAATCACAGCTTCTCTGTGCAACCTATCCCAGTGTCTCATCCACTGTCACGGAGAAGGCTTTCCTCCCAAAGTCTCACCTAAATGTCCTCTTTTAATTTGTATCCATTACTGCTTGTCCTGTCACTACAGATCCTGAGGAACTTCCCTTCAGATGCTGTAAGGTTGCTCTGGGGTCTCCACACAACCTTCTCTATCACTTCACCAGGCTTCACTAGCCACAGCTCCGTCCGCCTGTCTTTGTAGGGGAGGTGCTCTAGCCCCCTCACCAGAACGGAGCAGAGGGGCAGAATAATTCCCTCCCTCGCCCTGCTGCCCACACAGTTTTTGACGCGGCCTAGGCTGGGGCTGGATTTCTGGCAAGTCTCAGATCTCCGCTGGCCGACGAGCCTTTTCCTGGCCTGCCAGTTCCAGCCGGGATGGGGCCGGCGCAGGAGCCGGGCCCGGCCGCCCCCACCCCGCGGCCCCGGGCGGCG